TTGTCCACAAACTTGACCCTCATTGCTGAGCCAAAAATCAACAGACATACACAAGTACTCCTAAACCAGCAAGGCTTTGTGCTGAAAAGATAAGAACAACCACTGGATGATGTATGACTTCACTCTATCAAGGTGGTGGGGGATGCTCTATTTTAGCTCCATTTCATGTGGCTCTGCTCAAAGAAAGAATATTAAATGTCATATATATTAAAATGTCCTAAATGACTCCAAACTTGAGTAGAAAGCACCTTCCAGAGAACTGTCCCCAAATTTCTAGCAACTAACTTTTACGTCTTAGAGCATTTAAGCAATTGACTAAGCTCTTTTTATTATAGGGTGATTAATTCAAACCATTAAATTAATAGACTATTGTATCTAACTCTTTAAGCTTGCTCTAAGTATTTCAAATGTATACCTCCTTCCAAGTCTCTTCAATGCCAAAATTAAGAAAATAAAAAGCTTTTTAGTGAGGTAACAGAAATCACATGGGATATTTTGTTGTCTCACTTTTCCCTTTATGTCTTACCTTCATGGGAAGTTTTTGGCATAAAAACGAATGCTTCCCCATTACTGTCAAGCATCTGTCTTATTGCTGCGTGCTTTCCTTGTAAATCACAAATATCCTTCTTTGAAAGTGCCTGTATATATAATGATAACATCTTAGCTATCCGCCAAAACACAAGGAGTTTAACTGGGAATAAATGAAAATCAGAAGCCAATAAATCAAGCAAGTTGACCACTTCAAAACTCAAAGGAATATGGGGGAAAAGGAAAGCTACCTCCCACATCCTCACAAAACTGAACTCTGGGACTCCTCTAGTTCCAAAAATTCATACAAGAGCAAGAGCTACTGAGCGATCTCTTAGAGGAAACAAAATGTTCTATACTCATACTCAGGTTCCAAGAGCCAAACCTCCCTCACAGTCAAGAAACCAATTCACCCTTGAAAAGGCCAAGAGAAACTCTGTTGGCCAAAAAGTAGAGAGCTTCCTATTTAACTCATGGTCACATGAAGGAACTTTAGGTCTCCCAGAGTAGTGATTATAGAACACTTCTGAATTCTAGATCATTGTTCTCAGTGTTATATTTTTGATGCTAAATCATCTCATAGGTCTGACTTCTTATTTTTTAAATGGAGAAGATTAAGTGAAAATCTGTGTGATTCTTAATGTATTGTCTCTCCCCTCCAAAGTGGAGTTTGGCATCTACTGTTGTGGATTGATGCAGTCTTCAGAAGGACTTGCTGGCAGCATAAAACTGGGAAGGCGGAAGTAGGCATTTGCGGGGGAGGGGGGTTCTGCTTGAGAATCTGTCGAAGTAACAACTATAAAGGATTAAACATCCAACACTTGGGCTGGGAAGGTGGCTCAGTGGTAGAATTCTTGCCTTGCATGCATGAGGCCCTGGGGTTGATTCCTCAGCACCACATAAGCAGAAAAACCCAGAAGTGATGTTGTTGCTCAAGTGATAGAGCACTAGCCTTGAGCTGCAGAGCTGAGGGACAGTGCCCAGACCTAGAGTTCAGGCCCCATGACCAACAAAAACAAACACAAAGCATCCAACACTTGTCTAAACTCTGCTGAGACACTGAAGAAGTATTGGCTTGGCAAATGGAGTGATTTTAATACAGAATGAGCATGAGCTTCTCAATTTGGAAAATGCTTTGTAATTTCTCTGGAGCTCTGCATAGGTACAGGAATCTTTTCTTTTTCTTTTCCCTTTTTTTTGTCAGTCATGGGGCTTGAACTCTGGGCCTGAGCACTGTCCCTCAGCTCTTCAGCACAAGGCTAGCACTCTACCTCTTGAGACACTGCGCCACTTTGGTATTCTGAGTGGTATATTGGAGATATGAGTCTCATGGACTTTTCTGCCCAGGCTGGCTTTGAACCATTATTCTCAGATCTCAGCCTCCTGAGTAGCTAGGATGATAGGCATGAGCTACCAGCACCTAGCCCCTCCCCCCTTTTTTAACTAGTTTTGATGGCTTTATTTCCTACCGCTCATGGACAACAATAATTGTATGCTGACTGTGTGAATGAAACAATGTATAAGTGAATGAGTCAAGCGGCTTATAGGATAAAATATGAATTATCAAAGCAATTACATCTTCTTTAACTCAGAATTAATAATTGGTTCAATGGGATTTTTTCAGTAAGACTATTGACTTCTCAAAAGTGAGTGTACAAGCTAAAAGGCATACAAAGAACAAAAGACAGTAAAAACAGATATAACCTTGACATCACAGAAAACCAAGAGTGAAGAGCAACAGCAGATACTAATTGATTTTAGAGCAGAAAGAACAATGATCTTAGGAAATACAGAAAGTCGATAATGGAAATGCTAAATCAAGATCGCAGAGTAAACAAAAGATGTCTTTAAGCCTGTCAATTTTCTCCAGCAAAGTGTCATTTAGAAAAGAAACATTGAAGAAAAAGATACCTAATAATAGCAGATATCTATTACACACCTCATGTATTACAATATGTAAATAACCACTCAGAGGAAGAAATCTTCTTTGCCAATAAAAAATAGCAAGATTAGGTTGGGCTATCTATCTTGGATAATGACAAATGTATTTGGCCTAACAGGCTTATTTTAAGGACACCAAAGAAGCCATCACAATTCCAGAGAGACTTTATTATAAAAATATCTGCTGGACATTGCTGAACTGAATCTAGAGGAAAAATGACTACTGGAGAGAATATGTATCTCTTTGCTCCTTTCTTATCTTATCTTATCTCTTCCTTCTTTCACCCACATTCCCCACTATAAAATTCTAACCTAATTCAGTCACTGTGTGCTAGCTAGTACACTTCAGTAAATTCTAATGGTTCTCTTCGGCTTGGGGTAAAAAAAAAAAAAAAAGCAAAACATGAAAAATACTTCATTTGGCAAGGAAGTTACCTTTTTCTTATTATGTTCAGCCTGCTCTTCCATCATAGTACTTAATATGATTGGTTTAATATTAGAATTTTCCTTTTTTGTTGTTTGTGTTTTATTTTGTGGTGTTGGGATTGAACTCGGGGCCTCACATATGCTAGATATGTTCTTTCTATAACATTAGTTTTACCCCAATTGTATGTATGTGTGTGTGTGACATTACATTCTCATATAGTCAACTGCTGTTCAAAAAATTAACAGCTCCTCATGACAAAAATATATTTGGAGACTGTTGTAAGTATCAGTCACTATTGTACTTATTAACAGCATTTACCAAATATTTCTGATTCCCTACCAGCCAAAAAGCCTGAAGTAGATCTAGAGCTTAAGTGGTAGAGAGCTAGCTTTGAAGTAAGTAACTTAGGGACAGTACCCAGACCCAGAGTTCAAGCACAAACACACACACACACACACACACACACACACACACACAATTTTAGCACCTAGCATTCTACATCTCTCTAAAATCTTTTTCTGATTTTCCTAGGCATTCTCATTATATTGTGAACAAGATGGATAATGACATTTGACCCACTAGAAAATCCAGTAATCTAAACTCACAAACCCTTTACCTGAAGAATGGTAACTTGTAAATGTACAGAAGTAAATAGTAAAGAAACTTGGACATACACTCTTCCATGACTTTTGCAACTTTCTGAACTTCTGAAAAAGTTATTAATAAGAATACATTGAGTGGTATCAAGAATACATACCTGACATTCTGAGCACAGAATGCAATTTTTATATACCAATGCCATTTGGGACAGGAAAAAAAAAACATGCAGGGGTCAGGGAAAGCTATGATATAACTGAATTCTTGTATTTAAAGGGCCCTTTTTTATAGGCTGCTGATTAGATATCTAAATACATTCTATCCAGATGCAGACAAACTTGGAATCTTCTTCCATGTACAACCAATTTTAGATTCCTACTGGCAAGTGCATAATAAAAAACATGCATTGGAACTACAAACCATATGTTCCATGAAAGGAAAACCATTCCCTCATGGTCCCTCACTGTCCTTGGAGTCCTTTACTACTGTTGAGCCAGTAACAGAAAAGAGATAGGCAATAGGATTATGAGAAAATATGAACCAAAACAATCATGTCTGGCTCCCAGATGCCAAATCTCTGCTCACCAAATTCTCTTTTCACCTTTTTCAATTCACTGTCCATCTTTCTATAAATATATTTTCATATATATATATATATATATATATAAATCATCATTAGCCAAGTGCCAGTGGCTCGTGCCTGTAATCCTGGCTACTCAGGAAGCTGAGATCTGAGGATCGTGGTTCAAAGCCATCCTAAGCAGTAAAGTCCATGAGACTCTTATCTCAAATTAACCACTAGAAAACCAGAAGTATTGCTGTGGCTCAAGTGGTAGAGTGCTAGCCTTGAGCTGAAGAACTCAGGGACAGCATCCAGGCCCAGAGTTCAAGCCCCAGGACTGACAGAAAAAAAAATAATATCATTATGGCAGAGTGCCAGTGGCTAATGCCTATAATCCTAGCTACTCAGGAGGCTGAGATCTGAGAATAATGGTTCGAAGCCAACCCAAGCAGAAAAAGTTTGTGAGATTATTATCTCCAATAAACCACTCAGAAAAAGCCAGAAGTGTCACTATTGCTCAAGTGATAGAGCACTAACTAGGCTTGAATACAAAAAGGCTCAGGGGAAGTACCAGACCCTGAGTTCAAGCCCCAGAACTGGCCAAAAAAAAAAAGTCATCATGATGGAAGGAAAATAGTTTGATACTTTTTTCTTGAGAACTAGTATCTCTCAATCTTTCAATGTTACCATATGCACCTCCAAATAGCACACTCCCGTATGGATGCTCACACAGCCACGGGCAGAATTACTAGGGAGTAGGAATCAGTTATACAGATCAAATTCCATCAGCATCAATGCTTCCTCCAAAGAGGAAGGTGAAATGATGAAAAAGAAAAATCATTGAGGTAAAAATAGTACTTGGTGGCCCCAGAGTTAAATATTACACATAGATTTAGTTCAATGAAGAGGTTATTTAGGAAAACAACAATGTTTCTTAATGCTCACCTGTGCAAGAAAAGTCATCCACACGAATGTATCCTGGGACACAGTCACAGCGATATAACCCCGGAAGGTTGACACACACGGTATTGGCATGACAGTAATGCATCTTAGCTGCACATTCATCAATATCTAAAGGAAGGCAAAAAAAAAGCATCATCAGGATTAGGCAAATAATTGAACTAGTGTATAATCACCTTACAAGGAAACTATAAGAGGCAAATGCCCACTGAAATCAAGAGAACATGCAAAATGCATTCTACTCAAAAGCTAAAGTGCAAGTTCTGATGGTGCATTAGATCCCATTTTGAGCTGAAAACATTCCTAGAGAGATACATGGTCATACAAAGCCAGAATCAATTATTAATGTCTTGCCAAGAGAGGATACTCTATTTAAATACTGTCCAAAATTAAGGCAGTTTGCATCCATGGATTGATAACCAATTAATATGTATTAGACATCTACAGTCCATGGTACAGCTTTCATCAAAGAGATAAAGGAGTCCTGTCCCTCTCTGCTTATGTGTCTTACTAAGACATGCTTTAATCCATCTGTTACAAAATTATGCTGTAACCAGTTTCGCCCATGTTGCATTGTGAAAACAGACAGCAGCTTTTGTCCAATTCAAATTACTGTTGTTCATCCTTTGACCTAGGAATCCATCTCATGTGAAAGAATAATGAGATAATTCAACAAATGATATTATTCTCTTTGGGACAGAGGTCAGGGTATCACCTGCTTTCTCTCTGTCTCTCTCCCTCTCTCTCGCTATCTGTGTGTGTGTGTCTCTCTGTCTCTGTCTCTCTCATACACACACACACTTTAATAAGGAATAAAATAATGTACAACTTTTGGTCTTTTCTGGGGTTTATATTTTTTAAATGGAGTTATGTTCATTTTACTCAAAATGCTTATTTGTGATGAGTAGAGAGAGGGAGGGATATGAGTTCAGAATGGGCATTCAAGACAGAAGTGTAAGCTCTCAGTCTGGTGCTGATAGTTTCTGGAGCCCCTATATCCTCATCAGCTTACCCTAAGGATCAGTTCTAAACTCGATACCTTGTATTCTCATAGGCATTATCGAGCTTGGTCCACAAAGAATACTCCAAGCAAAGAACCATTACTACTCTCATTTTATAGTTCACATGGGATTCAAAGAAGCTACATATCTAATATAAAATCATACCATTAATACATGCTACCCCTGGGATCTGAATTCAGAAGTGGATCATTTATTCACTGTGAATTATTTTATGAAAGAACCTTGAAAATGGCCATCAAACAAAGTGTTTAACTTAAGATAATCATTGACATCCCACTACCTTTATTGTATAGAGACTACATATAAAAATAGCTAATAAATGTTTACAAATACAAAAAATAGCTACTAGTGTGTGTGTGTGAGAGACAGACATACAGACAGACAGACAGACAGACAGACAGAGAAAGAGAGTCTTGAGGCTTCACTCAAAGCCTAGGCACTCTCTGAGCTCTTTTGCTCAAGTGAAGTACTCTACTGCTTTAGTTAAAGCTACACTTTCTAGCTTTTGGATGAATAGAGATAAGAGTCTCACAAACTTTCTTGCCTGGGCTGACTTCAAACCATGATCCTCAGATCTCAGCCCCCAGAGTACCTAGGATTACAGGCGTGCCATGCATCATTAATTTATTTGCTTTTGATGGGAAAGTCAGGTGCTTTGTTTCCTGATAAAACATCTTGGAATACACCATACTCTTTTCAGGGCTACAGAGCCATCATCTTATATGTAAAAATTATTATCGGATAACTGAAAGCTTAGGAGACCCGCATTTTGCAAGACTGCTATAAGACTCCTTAAAAATGAGTGATATAACTCAGGCAGTCAGCAACTTCTTGTGTGCCAGTCTCCAGCTCAGAGCTGCTTCACTGCAGGAACTTCATTCCTGCAACGGAAAGCGACGGAGTCAAGAAATTACTATCCCATATGCACTAGAATGCATGAGATGGGAACCTAAAAGATGGGAGTCGTAGCGTGGTGCTTGCATTAAGGTGTGTGTGGAAGGAGAGGTTGTGCTGGAGTTTTAACTCAGGGCTGCGTTCTTGCAAGGCAGGTACTCTACTACTTGATTCATTTGCTATTTGCTACTCAGTTCATTTGCTATTCAGTTTCTTTGTTCGGATACTAACTTTTTCTAGACTGGCCTCCAATTAATTCTCTTGCCCCTGCTTCCTGAGTAACTGGGATTACAAGTATAAACTATCATATCCAGTTTGTTTTTTAGATAGTGTACCACAAATTGTCAAGGTTCGCCTCAAATGATAACCCTTCTTCCCTGCTTCATTGTGATTCTGAAATTTTGAAAGTAGTTTATATCTGCTTGATAACAATGTCTATGGTATGCCTATAAGAGGGTAGAAAAGGAAATTACCAGAGGTATGAGGTTGGAAAGACCAAGAAAAGCCAGGCATTGGAAAGGTTGATAGGAATAGTATTGTTGGGTAAAATGTCAATTTCATGCTTCTGGACACTCAGCATAATTGTATTTCCCCATCTTTTGCTAATTCAAGCCTGGCATGAAATATGACTAGAAGTACATCACCCCTAGGTGGAAAGATTAGAGCCAGCATCTGGCCAGCTACATTTTCTTGTTCCTGTCTTAGAATATATAGGAACACACAGAGATGGAGACTTCTAGCCTGGTCCCTCAGTAAAACTCAGAGCCCTAGGCAAGCATGGCAGACATGAGATACAAATAGGTCTCTGTAGACGGCCTTTAAGCCCGTCCTGACTAGTATGGAGAGCAACTATGAAGAGGATTATTAAGCTAGATCTTAAAACATAATAGAAATTCATTAGGTAGGAAATGGAGATGAAGATCCAGAAAGGAAACCATACAGGTAAGAAGCTTTTGTCACTGTAGAGTCAGAAATGGAAAGAATCATGGCCTTAGCAAAACCTATGATCATTTCTCCCAGGGGTATGAGGTCTTTTAACAAAGGCATTTGACCTGTTCTAACAAGGTCAGAGAAGAACAATCTGGGGAGATGATATTTCATCTAAGACATGAAGTAAAAATGGAAGCGATAAAGGAAAAGAGAAATAGCATAGCAAACAGAGAAGAATGTTCTAGAAAACTTAGCTATCGCAAAGAGCTTTGCTTATCTGAAGTGGAACCGGAATGCAAGCTCAGACCAGAACCTGATTGACCTCAGAAGCCAAATGGAAGGGGCTCGGGCTAATCAGGGCAGTGACATAATCCAATTTCTGTTTTTAAAATATCACTCTAGATGTAGTGAAGAGAATTGATTGGAGCAGGGCAAGCAGAAAGTTAAGTCATCTTGGTATTTTACTCAGAGACTCACAGTCACACTGAAGCTCGCACTGCGAAGATACCCAGCCATTCCTCAAGATGAGAAACTAGTCAGGACCTGTCTTAGAGACAATTCAATCTTCCCCCATGGTCACAGCTGACAACCAGAATGCTGACCAAAATGAATGGTCCCTGTCATGGACCCCTGTTAAATCCTCCCTGAGGAAATTCCCTGCTCATTTCCCTGAGGCCATTGTGTAACTGCTGAGAGGCCTCCGCCTCATATAAGTTTGAAGAAGTTACTTGGTTATACCATGCTTATTTTGATTCAAACAGACCAAGCTACTTTCATGTTTCACAGGGGTCTAAGGCCTTGAGTAAAAGTATTTTCACAAAGCAGACAAAGGGATGTTTACAAAACCCCAGTGAGAATTTCTTCCATAGATTTAATCAAAGCTTTGCTCTCTACAAGTTATCTAAGACCTTCCCTGGCCATTCATCCATGCTGCTCTGCTGATAGGTCTTGAAGCAGGGTTTTTTTTTTCTCAGTTCATAGCATTTTAAATTTCAGCTCTTGAATATCTAATAATTTCCAATACTTACAGAAGGTTGAAAGGCATTTTTCAGAAAATTAAACTTTCCCAATCTTACAATTGTGCTTATTGTTCATCACACAACTACTACACATAAAACTATCCTTGAGGTATAAATGGAAGGGCTTGAACTCGGGGCCTGGGTGCTGTTCCTGAGCTTTTATGCTCAAGTTTAGTGCTCAACCACTTGAGCCACAGCTCTACTTTGGGCATTTGGGAGATTGACTAGGGTTCTTCTTAGGTTGTTCTTGAATGATGAACCTCAGATCTCAGCCTCCTAAGTAGCTAGTATTACAGCCATGAGCCACTGGTGACCAGGTAGAATGATAATTGTAAAAAGGGTTATCTAGCTCGGTCTCTTGACACGAGGTTTTGGAAGAATGGTATGATGATCGAACAATGAGAACTCTGTCAAAAGAGAGATTGTTTTTCCATCTCCAAGGAGTCACCCAACCCAACAGAAAAATTTGATAGGACTCAGGAGTGGTCCAAAGGGAAATCTGATCATGAAAGAATAAGGACAGAATTAACAATTTCAGGGAGATGGGATATCCTAAGAAACCATCTGGAGAAATAGCCAACAAATGAGATTTGCCACGTAAGCCTGAGACAAATAGTACATTTTGTTTACAGAGAAGGGGCTCTGAAAGGTAATTTTAAAATGCAAAATAGAACAAAGCAGAAAACAGAACCTCCAATCGAAAGAAGGAACCAACATGCAAGGGAGAAAGTGAGCAGACTCAAAGCAATGAGGATTCTCACCATGGAAACGAACTATAGTCTGACTGTTATCCAGATGGGACAGTGCTCTGCCTACTGCAATTCTCCTGAGCAATGGTTTCTCCCAGTGTGATATTTCCCCCCAAGACAGGAGATGAAAAGAACTAAGCCTGAGCCTGAAATTAAAAGTAGAGTTAAAAAAACACTAAAGTCCAGAATCAAGTTACAGTTCTGAGTCAATCCAGAAACTTTTTCTAGGAAGAATACAGCTAACTTGATACCGATTTAGAAGGATGGACTTTAAAACCATATATTTAGATAAGAGATGATGCTCAGATGAGTGAAAAACCACACAGTACCTGCCTCAGAAGATGAAACTAGGAAAAACCCCTGGCATCTGGTGAGCAATAAACATCTGTCCTTTTCATATACCAGCCACAATACTAGGGACTCTGTGAAGCATCTCTTCAAATGTGTACTCTTTCTGACTACTGTATGAGATGGCTAGCCCATACCCTGATGAGTGA